TGTCGAATTTGTTGCCATATAATTGTTCAAAGTATTTGTTAACGATCCTTTGTATTTCTGTGGTGTTAGTTGTTACTTCTCCTCTTTCATTTATGATTTTGTATATTTAGGTTCTCTCTCTTTGTTTCTTGGTGAGTCTTGCTAAGGGTCCATCAATCTTGTTTATCTTTTCAAAAAACCAGGTCTTTGTTTCATTGATCCTTCGAAATGTTTGTTTGTTGGTTTTGTTTTTTTTTTTGGTCTCTATGTCATTTTTTTCCACTCTGACCTTTCTTATTTCCTTCCTTCTACTTGCTCTTTACTATTTCCTTCCTTCTACTTCCTTTTTGTTTGCTTTCTAGTTCTTTAACTTGTGAGGTTAGATAGTCTATTAGAGATTTTTCTTGTTTCTTGAGGTAGGCCTGTAGTGCTATGAACTTCCCTCTCTGAACTGCTTTTGCGCATCCCATAGATTTTGTGTTGCTGTGTGTTCATTTTCATTGGTTTCCAGAAATTTTTAAATTTATTCCTTGATTTCCTCAGTAACCCATTCATTGTTCAATAACATGCTTTTTAGCCTCCATATGTTCCAATGTCTTTGCATGTTCTTGTTGCAATTGATTTCTAGTTTCATGCCATTGTGATCTGAGAAGATGCTTGATATAATTTCAATCTTCTTGAACTTGTAGAGACTTGCTTTGTGTCCTAACATGTGGTCTATTTTTGAGAATGTCCCATGTGCACTTGAGAAGAATGTTTGTGGTGTAATTCTCTGTTACTATCTATTAAACCCATTTGGTCTAATGCTTCACTTAGAGTCTCTGTTTCCTTGCTAATTTTTGTGTCTAGAGGATCTATCCAGTGATGTGCTGAAGTTCCCTGCTAAGATTGTATTGCTATCAATTTCTCTTTTGAAGTCCTCCAAAAGATTTTTAATATATTTTGGTGCTCCTATATTAGGTGCATATGTTTACCAAGGTTATATCTTCTTGTTGGATAGGTCCTTTTAATATTATGTAGTGGCCTTCTTTGTCTCGTTATGGTCTTCATTTTGAAATCTATTTTATCAGATATGAGTATTGCTACCCCAGCTGTTTTTTCCTTTCCATTTGCTTAGACGATTTTTTTTCCATCCCTTCACTTTCAAGCTATGTGAGTCTTTTGTTGTAAAGTGGGTCTGTTGTAAACAACATATATATGAGTCATGCTTTTTTATCCAATCAGCTACTCTGTGTCTTTTTATTGGAGTAGTCAATCCATTTACATTTAAGGTGATTATTGAAATGTGCTTATTTATTGCCATTTTTTCTTTAGTGTGGTTCTATTTATCTTCCTATTTCTTCTACTCATTACCACAGTCCTTTTTACATTTCTTGCAGTGCTGGTTTGGTGCTAATGTATTCCCTTAGCCTTTTTTTTTTTTTTTTGTCTGGGAAGCTCTTTATTTGACTTTCTATTTTGAATGATAGCCTTGCTGGGTAGAGTAATCTTAGATTCAGAACCTTGTTTTTCATGACCTTGATTACCTCATGCCATTCCCTTCTGGCCTTATAATGTTTTTGTTGAGAAGTCAGCTGAGAGCCTTATGGGAGTCTTTTATAGGTAACTTGTTGCTTCTCTCTTGCTGCCTTTAGGATTTTCTCTTTGTCTTTAATTGTTGGCATTTTAATTACTATGTGTCTTGGTGTGGGCCTGTTTGGGTTCTTCTTACTTGGGGCTCTCTGTGCTTCTTGAACTTGAATGCCTTCTTCCTTCACCAAATTAGGGAATTGTTGTGTCACTGTTTGTTCAAATATATTCTCTAACCCTTGCTCATTTTCTTCTTCTTTGGGGACTCCTATGATGCAAATATTATTACGTTTCTAGTTGTCCCACAGTTCTCTTAAGCTGTCTTCCTGTTTTTTAATTGTTTTTTCTTCTTGGTTTTCTGATTGATTGATTTTTTCTACCCTGTCTTCTAATTCACTGATCCGGTCCTCAGCTTCCTCTACTCTGCTGTTTAGTCCTTCCAGTGCGTTCTTTATTTCTGCTATGTCATTCTTCATTTCTTCTTGGTTGTTTTTAATTTCCATTTGGTTGATTTTCAATGTTTCTATGTCTTTTCTCATGGTGCTCATGTCCTTACACATGCTGTTGAGCTTCTTCAAGATCATGGTTCTGAATTCTAGCTCTGTTAACTTGCTTAATTGCAATTTATTTATCTCATCTCTTGTTCTTTCATTTGTGATTTGTTTCTTTGTTTCATCATTTTGGCTATTTCAGTGGGTTTTGGAGCCTGCCAAATTTTCCCTGTGGGTGTTGGTGTTCTGCTCTTTGCAGCTCCCTCTATTGTGTTTGTATGAGCAAGGCAGGACCCACTTTAAACACCAGGCTTACTTTCCTGGGTAGATTTGCAAGCCCAAGAAAGGTTCAGTTATTCTCTAGCTTTTTGCCTGGAGGCTATTAGTTGGGTTTCTTGAAGAGCCTTGGTTTCTCAGTTGAATGAAAAACTCCCTCAGGTGTTCAGAGTAAGGGGATTTCCTGAGGGTGGGGCAGATGCTAGTTGTTAATGTGCCTCAATTTGCATTTCAATGGCCACTGGATGGGGTTGAATCTCCAAGGGAGGGGCCACAGCCTCTCCCCAGAGCCCTTGGAAGGAGTCTGATGGACACCATCCTGTGTGGCCACAACTCAACAAAAGTTCTGAGAACCCTCCAAATCTCGAGTGTCCCCACACAGTTCCAGTCCTGTCTGTCTTCCCTCTGTCAGAGCCCAAGGTGAGTGTCTGTGGCTATTTTAGCATCTGTTCTGGCTCTGGCGCTGTTGAGCTGCTTGGGAGTTTAACCCCGAGGGTGCTGCTCACAACTAATACTGCTGCTATCTGTGGGCTCCCAGCTCCCCTCTCACGCCTCTGCAATCCTACCAGGATTTATTCAGTGTCCTTGGTTATATGGTCCTAGCAAGCTGCTTTTCTATTGCTTTTTCCCAACAATTTGTCTTTATTTTAGTTGTAATTCCAGTTTGGTCCTGGGAGATGGTTTGTGTAGCTTCCATTCACTACGCCGCCATTTTGGAATCTCCAGGGATGAGTTTCTTACATTCTGTCCTGCTTAATGTTCTTCAAAAGGCATGTTATCTTACATCAGCAATATGACTGCCAACTGGACTTGCTCCCTCTAAGCTCAGAGGGGAATCAGCTTGAGGGGCATTAGAGACATACAGGAAAGAACTGAGCTGTTTGGCATTGGAGCGAGGACTGGAGAGGGGGCTTTCTCCTGGATAGATGTGCTGGCAGAGGCCTTTGTTCCTTTGGTGAGCCCTTCCCCGGGGCTGCAGATAGCCACCATATCTGGGACTCTAGCAACTTTGTATTTGCCTTGCTCCTAACAGTCTTTCCACCAATCCAGTAGATGCACCCATTTTATCAATTTCTGTCCATACACATTTCTAGAGGTACTATCTCTTAGTGGCAGCCAGATGATGTGAAAACCATATGAGAACAATCTGTAAAATCTCAAACAGTGATTATTAACAGCTCAACCTCAGTCTCCACCAACAATATTTTTAATGAAGAATAGATGGCATGTGAAACTTTTTAAAGGGAACCTTGAGGCCTTTTAAAAATAAACGCTACTTATATGCATATGTGCGTAACCAATGGACACAGACAATAGTGTGGAGGAGGCAGGAGAGGGGTGGGAGCAGGGAGGAGGGATCAATGTTTGGAAAAATGGGGGAAGATCTAATACTTTCAACAATAAAGATAAAAAATAAAAATAAATAAAATAAAATGAGTGATACTATTAGCCCTATTACATACACATAGGAAGTGAGAGACACCCTACTTTTGGGAAACCACTTTCCCTTTGGAGGGAAACCTGTCCCTACCCCACATGCTACGTACCCTTATATGATTTGCTTGGGAGTAACATTTTTGTGCAATTTGAGCACTACTCGTAGAACATGTCTGGTTCAGAGCTTTATGTTCTTTCAAATTTGATCCAGAGATTTATATTCTTAAACATTTGGGATTGGAGTCAAGACTTAATTTAGTCTCTTTTGAGTGGCTGGCATGTAATGTGTGAACTTGGGGACCCGTGGTGGCCATATTTTTCACTGTGAGAATGAGAGGCAAAGAAAATCATTCTCTAGTAATGGAGTGGCATGAAGCATATGTTGGGGTGAGGGTGGGGGGCAGAATAGAAATTTAATATGGAAGAAAGGAGATTTTATTTGGTCCACTCCACCCACCGTCAGTGAAGGTGGAGCAACATCCCAAATAAGAAGAGGTTGCTGCATCCAGAAAAAGAAGTGCGTATGAAGGAAACAAAAACCAAATCCCTATGGCTGGACTCCAAACATATTACTGAAGACTATTGAAAATGAGGTATAGAAAAATAAACAGCAAGTAGATGCCATGTTCCTGGTGACTCTTCTGTTATCAATGGTCTGTTGATATATGTGGTGTGTCTTCACTGAAGTCATCAGTACCTATGAGTGCATGAACATATTTTTCTGAATCCCTGTGCCTTATATTTTATTGCAAGGTTATAGTGTCAATGAACATTTCCCTTTAGTGACAGCCATAATCAAGGCAGACCGTTTTAAGCTCACATGTTATTATTTCACAGTGGACTGTAAAAGGAATCAGGATTCATGAGTTTGCTGACTGTTTATTCCCAGCTGCAGACATGGTCTCCTTTGGCCAAAACACAAACTACAGTGCCCTGCTTCTCTGGATGTCAGACTTCCAGCAATGAGTTGAAAAGGGAACGAGCTTCTCAATGGCCAGAGCAGATATCACGGAATGTCTACACCTTGTTCCATGAAGGGACTCATCCTACCATTATCTTGACTCATACTTTAGACATCATCGTATCTCACGCACCCGATTATCTATTTATCCATCCTAAACTTTAAAGAGTAGTCAAGTGATCATGATTAAAAAACAAAACAAAAGCAGTGAAAAAAGGACTTGGCGGGATAGCACCATTTCTTCTCCTTTCAGTTTCTATGCCTTTCGCAGGGCTTCCAACAGCAGCATGCTGGGACAGAGCATCCGGAGGCTCACAAGCCCTGTGGTCCGTGGGAGCCACTACGAGGGGGGCCCAGGGAAGAATGTGCCGTTTTCAGTGGAGAACAAGTGGCGCTTACTAGCCATGATGACTCTGTACTCTGGATCTGGATCTGCTGCCCCTTTCTTTATAGTAAGTCACCAACTGCTTACAAAATGAGGATGTTTTAGTTAATCCATGAAACAGATAGGAAGAGGAGAATTTTAAGAGGTGCAGTCGCTTTGAAAAATGGATCGAACTGTTTAACTCAACATACTAGATGTGTTTGTAAATAAACTTATGGCATGAGTCCTTAATGCCTCTTCTCTGAAATACAAAAATGTCATAAATAAAAATAAAAAAAAAGGCTAGAAATACAACCCTAAAAATTAGCTACAATGATCATAAAAGTCCATTTGTTCAGTAGCATTTAGTCTCTACACTAAATAAGTAACACTGCAAACATCAGCAATGCCTACAGAATCATTTCATGTTTGTAAAGCTCATTATAAGTCATCAGAAAAGATTAAATTATGCTTTCTATATTTTGTCCTAAGATGCTAGCAAAGTGGGTAAAATACATGGAAAAACTTATATTCCAAGTGGAATTTAATCTTAAAGTTACATGGAGGATATATTTATGTTGAAAATGTCGCCGTGAAGCATTGATACCTTCAGCACTAATGCAGCTAGTAGCTGCTTCCAGCTGATATTTGACAGAAACGACAGACAAAGGATCCCAAGCACGGACTGACTGGCCAAAATCTTTCCCATCCTCTTCCCTAGCCTCCAGTTCTGAAATCTCAGTTTCCCCTCCTTATCAGCTTTTCAGACCTACCCAGGTGCCAGAAAGTGCCTACAATGCATATGTCCATTACAAGGAAATGACGGGCACCCATTTAGCAGAGGTTTGAATGCATCATGAGCCCTGTTGTCCGCGGAGCAGCACGGGAGGGCGCCCAGGGTGCACAGCATAGACACGCTCCAGCCTAAGCGCCTCTCATTTCCTTGGCTTCTACTCAGCCTAAAAAGCAAGCCCAGTTTTTCCCTGGAAAAAAAATAATAAAGTGCTATTTATTTCACTGCACAAGGGCTAATATTTTATTAGGGGAAATCATCTTTTCATAACGGTCATTTATAGCTGCCGTATTTACTATTTTGGTTTTACTGATCAAAGAGATATCTACAATACACTGTATTTTCAAATCCTTACTGTTGAGAGTAATATAGATGCACCCCCATTTTCCCCCGTTGCCCCTCTCTACCAGGTTCCTAGCCTACCCCAGGCCTTCACCACCCTATTTTCTGTGTCCATGGGCTATGCATATATGCATATAAATTATTTGGTTAATCTCTGCCACCCCACCCCCAACCCACTGCTGTTCCCTCTGAGATTTCTCAGTCTGTTCCCTGCTCCCATGCCTCTGGTTCTATTTTATTCATGAGTTTATTTTGTTTATTAGATTCCACATATAAGTGAGCTTACGTGATATTTATCTTTCTCTGACTGGCTTATTTCACTTAGCATAATAATCTCCAAGTTCATCTTTTAATGAATAGATTTTTACATATATTTATCATGAGATTAGTTTTTAACCAAGTATTTCAATCCCATCAGAACTGCTGCTAAACTCTGGCTCAAATGGTCTTGAGGGCAGATGCCATAAATGTAACCAAATACACGATGAACACAGTCACCCTAGGGTGGTCGGGATAATGCATATGAAAATTTCTAATGGATGACGCTCATTCAGCTCTATCATGAAACTACCAGCTACCATTTGCTTTGCAAACACTGGTCCTGGATAGATTATCTCCTGAGAAAAATAATGCAGTTTTAGGAAAGCAATGTTTTTAGCTGCAATAAGCATTCTAATTACTTTAGAATGTTTCTTTTTTTTCCCCCTTCACCCTCCAGGGCCTTTTTGCTTTCAAAGCAGCAGCAGAAACAAAGCAATTTTGCACAGTAAAAGCTTATTAACACATGACGCAGTTCAGTGGCATGAGAAATGCTGGGGAGAAAACAAAGAAGCCATCCCACAGAAAAGGTTGTTCTGAATATTTAAAAGAAAAGAAGCTGAGAAGAAAGGTCGAGAGGTCAGCTCTGGCTTCAGAGAAATCTCAGTTCCACGGGAGGAAGGATGGGCGTTTCATTCCTCAACCCGCTCAGCAAGTGCCGTTCACAGCGAGGCAGGACATTTTCTAAGTCCTCATTCATCACCTAAGAGAGTCCCCAGGTTCTCTTCAATGCTGGTTTCTTCTGCCTTTTTTTCAAACTTATCTGTGAGGCACCAGGGAAGGTGAAACTTCCCCCATTCGTCTGTGGAAAATGAATTTGAAGGTTTCTGCTTCTCTGCGGAGGCACCAGTAAAGCAGGGTGAGGGTGGAGGTAAAGTGCCAAAGCTGTTTCATCAGAGCGCAGTAAGAAAAGCTCCACAGAGGATCTAGGGTGGTTGGAACCGAAGGGAAGACACCGCATGGAACAGGGTGTGAGGCACGTACAACTTGGACAAAGCAATGTGGAATTCAGTGCTGACTTCATCATCAAAGCCTCACTTTCTTGATCCAAATAGACGGCACCTTGCACAACTCAAAACATCTCCGAAAAACAGCATAAAAAATTCGGAAGTCACAGACATGAATGTCGAGGGTCTTACAGTGGCTACAGGATGCTTTGAATAGAGACTGCGCCTCACGAATACACATTTATTCATTCACCATTCAGCTATCGCGTGTCTGCCATCTGTTGGGAATGGTGCTGGACATGTGGAGATGAGTAAAATAAATGTCCAATTGTCTTGGTGCTCACAGTCTAATATGGGAGAAAGGCAACACTATCTATTCAACATTCACTCATTCAGTACATATTTATTGAGCAACTACATATAGTAAGCTCAGTAAGAGGAGCCTGAGTGTGATGTCAGAGGGGCACGGGGTTCAGGAAGACCTCAGGAGTTGCTGATGTCTGAGCTGGGTTCTAAAGGTGACTTTATATCATGGTGAATGGTCTTCTAGGCAGGGGAAACCACACTTGCAAACGCATGTATGCATGAAATTGGCATATTGCTAGGGCACAGAGTTTGTATATGAGGAAAATGATAGAGGCTACTTCTATGATAGAGTACATATAAGCATTGGAAACACTTGGATGATTGGTTTATTTTTATCTACATTTTTTTTTTTAATTGAATAAACTTCCTTGGCATATTTCTCAGGCCAGTAATGAGGATCTGAAGGTATGACCACTGATGCACTCTAGCTAACTCTCCGCATCAGACACTAATCACAGGGAGGACAGCTTGGGTAACCTTGTACGGGGCATTGGGCAGGGGCTATCTTTGGGTAACATTACAAGAAAGAGCAAGTAGTCCCACAGTGACGCTATCTGTCATACCTTTACAAAGAAATCTATCTGAAGAATCGTCAACAGCATTATCTTTGAAAATAAAATCGCTATATTTAGGACTGTGGCATGCCCCAAGTCTCCCTAACGACTTCCTTGTCTCTAATCTGTCATAATGATGTATTAAAGTTATCCTCCAAAAGCATCTTCCAAAGCCTCCCCTAGTAATGTGCTCTGTTCTCTCATGGCCCCTGTGGTCACAAAGCGTCCTTACAGAACAGCTGAATTCATCTTATTCCAGTTCTAAGCCCATCTTTAGAACATGAGAGATCTCTTTATTTACTAACCCCCTAATCCTCATTCAAAGTCCTAACCAATGTGGAAACACAGCTACATAACAAAAGAGCCTCCTTTCCATGACTGTCTTGTCATCGGTGGAAACACCTGAGCAGTGTGGTCACAGGACTGTCATAAAAACGGGGAAACCTAATAGACAGGCAGGAGAGAAAGAAGGGTTGAGTAGTCGTGGAAGGCGTGCACCTTGCTTTGAACATTTCGTGATAAACTGAATCTCCTTTTGAGCACACACATACTAAGGACAGAACATTCTTCCGGCAATACCCAAAGTATGATTCCCTCCCTCTATGGGCGGGAGCAGGGCGGGGTGTAAATGAATGTTAGCTCTGAAGCCAGGAGAAAGCCTGCAATTAATACAGTAAAATCCCATTTCATGGACAGTTGCAGTTTTTCCTATGATGAATGTTAGTTTAAGACCAATGCATTATAAAAAGTCACCCAAGATAAAGCAATCACGTGTCTACATGCAATGAAGCCAAGAGAACAGGCCAAATAATACATTGGCTCAGCTTAATCTATGCCTGGTACATTAGCTGTTTACTTGAATAATGCAAAACCACAAGCCTATTCTGCTGCCTTGACCAGCGCTAAACCTAATGAAGTTAATCTGCCATCGGTGACACATGTGAGACAATTTTAATGCACTTAAAACATCTTATTTAAATTACACATAAAAGTAACAAAAGCATAGAAATATCACAGTCAATAAAGCTGAATTCCAAAGCTGTTAAAAAAAAAAAGAAAGAAAGAAAAAAACACGGCAGATTGGTTTTAGAGTATCTGCACACATCTGAAGCTAAGTAATTATTTCTCTAACTTTATTACAGAAATGAAAACTGCCTTGTGATGAGCTAGATACAAGCTTTCAGCAAAATAAGAGCTTATAATGGCTCAGATGTAGTATCTGAGAAATAAAATAATAAGATCGATTTAAAGCCTATAAACCACTTTTCAATGATCTGACAAAACAAGAAATTAGATTCGGTATATTTTTACTTGTTAATATATATTGATTTATCCATATTACACATCAGTCTTATTTCACTCCTGTGTTTGGAATCCCATAGCTATAAATTCTTCTATACTTTTCACTGTAGATTTTTCCTACAGTCTAAGCACACCTTCCCATCCCAGCCTCATGGCGAGGAATGTCCCATCCCTCAGGAAGAAGAGGTAGGGAAGGCCATGTCCTTTGAAATTCATGAATGCATCCTTCAAACCCCAAATGACACGTGGAAATCTGGATAGATGAATGTTGAACCTGTACCCCCCCTACCGCACCGCCAAGATTATTTCCAACCCCCCTCCTCCAGCAGATTCCTTATAATGATTCCAAGAGAGGATGTGACCCCCCCCCCCCACACACACACACACATACACATTTTCACCTAGTTTTAATGGAAGAAAGAAAAAAATCAGTATAAAAAGGTGGGAAGGCCCTGGCCGGTTTGGCTCAGCAGTTGGAGCACTGGTCTGTGGT